AAGATACCATCACAATATATACTTTTAAACTATAATATATAATTATCTAACTAGCATGACAAAATTGATCATTTGTGTAAGTTTTGATGATATCCTTTTATTTTAAATATTATTCTAATGTAATAATATTTTTCGGCATTTAGATGATTGTTGTAATATTATACAAAAAATTTCTCTCATTAATTAAATTTTATTATTCCTTCATATAAATAAATATTTAAATCAACACGTGTCATTATTAACGTGCAACATAGGTATTAGTTTTCTGAAAATTTGTTTTGACACGCCCTGCCTCATTAAGACTTTGCCCCGCCCTGCCCCATTTGCCATCCCTACCGATCAGGGTGGTGGGTCATAAGTGTGTCTGGTTGTTTTGGCGTGATAGCAAGCTACTACTGACCAAGACTAAACTGAAACCGCGTAAACTAAGATTAACATTATAGTAGTATATAGTAGTAGTAGCAGCCTTATATGTCGTCGTCTTAGGATTTGTAATTGAGCTTGCTCGGAACTTTCACCATACTAAATTTATCAGCTCCCTCTGCCTTAGACAAACTATGGATACACAAGTAGGTGTGATTGGGGAATAAGTACCAGACAAAGTTCAACCAAATGAATTTAGTCACTATGTTCAGTTAGTTTTGATTTGGTCAAACGAGGAAGCTTACTAGCTCTGAAAGTCCTCTCTCTCAATAACCAAACGAAATATCTTCAACTTTTCCTTCTTTCAACTTATATTTGACTTTTCTTTCTACAATTATTGGGTTTTGGTCTAATTATAGTAGTTAAGGAATTTACTGGTCGAAGAGTAAGAAGTTTCGTGATACTGAAGCCCACCCATTTGAGAGAGCTTAAACACATCTTTGATAGAGCTTTAGCTTTGAAAGGTGGTTGCTTGCACAAGCACAACTGCTTTCCCAACTCTCGGACTAACCGAGTTTTCAAAATGCAAAATTCACGATGCCACTTCCTAATTTTTTTTGTTCAATTTGTCTCCATCATTAGCTTTTGCCGATACATAATGCCAATAAGTGGTAAAGATGAAACTAGTGTTGTAAAGCAGGTGGATGTAGGCATAATTCTTGATATGGAAACAAATGTGGCAAAAGTAATGCACACATGTATCTTGCTAGCTCTTGAAGATTACCATGCCGCTAATCGCAGTGCCATTCGGATAGTCCCTCACTTCAGGGATTCCAAGAAAGATGACGTTGAAGCAGCATCCGCTGGTAAATTCAGCTCTATGATTTACTTCTATCAAACTAGCTCATCTCTACTCGCTTTGTTCATGACATACTTTGGTAGTTAGTACTCACTTCATCCCAATTTATATGATGATCTTTGATTAGGCACGAAATTTAAGATAACTTACTAAAAACGTAAAGTATCGAAATTCGAAAGTATCCTTTTAAATGAGTGGTGGTGAGAGTTTCTCATGTTTTCTCATTTTAATTGTGTGGAGGTGAGGTCCCGACAAGTTATGTTAATAAGAGTATAGTNGGGGAATTCCTTTCCCTTTGGTTTTCCTATTTTGAAAGGGATGTTCAGACAATTTCTTATAGTTTGATTGTGTATGTGCAGCCATATACTTGCTAAAGGATGCCCAAGTACATGCTATCTTTGGGCCACAAATGTCTACGCAAACTGACTTTGTGATTGACATAGGGAAAAGAGCAAAAGTCCCTATCATTTCTCCAGCAGCAAGTCCTTTACTTACAGTCAAGGAAAATCCCTACTTCATCAGAGCAGCACTTCCTTCTTCCAGCCAGAACAAGGCCATTGCAACAATTATTAAGAGCTTTGAATGGAGGGAGGCTGTAGTCATCCACGAAGATAGCCTCTATGGGACCGGGATAGTTCCACATTTGACTGATGCCTTACTGGAAATCAGCACCTTAGTCTCCTATAGATGTGTTATTTCTCCTTCAGCCAATGATGATCAAATCCTCAAGGAGCTATACAAGTTGAATACAATGCAGACCAGGGTCTTTGTTGTACACTTGCGACCTTTTCTTGCCTCGCGCCTTTTCCTCAAGGCCAAAGAAGCCGGGATGATGAGCAGTGGATATGCATGGATCATAACGGATGTGCTAACGAGTCTTCTGGACTCGGTAGATCCTTCAGTGATTGAATCATCAATGCAAGGTCTTCTTGGTATAAAGCCTTATGTTCCAAGATCAAATGAGCTTAACAATTTCACCAAGAGATGGAAAAAGAGATTTCGTCAAGAGTATCCAAACATGGACCAAGTAGAACTCAATGTTTTCGGGCTATGGGCCTATGATAGCATTACCATCTTAGAAAAAGCAGTAGAGAAAGTGGGCACCACTGCCATCCCAGAATTCAAGAAACCAGACACTAGAGAGAACTTAACGGACTTAGAGGCACTTGGAACCTCAGAATTGGGATCTCTGCTCATCAACTTTATGCAAAACACAACGCTAAAAACCGGACTAAGTGGTGATTTCCGTATCATTGATCGAGAATTGCAGCCATTCCCATATCAGATTGTGAATATAATTGGAAAAGGAGAGAGAAGCGTTGGTTTCTGGACAGAGAAGGATGGAATTTCCTATAAACTGAGGATGAATGGTAAAACATCTAATAAGAGTAATAATAAGCAACTAGGGACCATCATTTGGCCCGGTGATTCTACTATTGTTCCAAGAGGCTGGGAGATTGCCACAAGTGGTAAGAAGTTAAGGGTTGGAATTCCTGTCAAAGGAGGGTTGGAGCAATTCATTAAAGTGGAAATAGATTCAACTGGTTTCTTTGCAGATGTCTTCGGCGAAGTCATCCAAACTTTGCCATATGCTCTCCCTTACGAACTTATTCCATTTCGAATACCAGATACCCACACTCTTCCAGACTATGATGATCCTGTTTACAAGTTCATTTTTAAGGTAATATATACTCCCGGTTCGTAGTAACCTCTTTGGTTGAATATCTTGCTCACATGCTCCTATTTGGGACCTTCTTATCTACTTTCTGCTTTTGTGACCAACCGTAATTAATGCCATAATCATTGTTTGCTTTAACCAGGAATATGATGCAGTTATAGGTGATGTGACCATTTTAGCTAACCGATCCGAGTATGTAGATTTCATACCTTTTACGGAGTCGGCTATTTCTGCAGTTGTGCCAGTAAGGGATGATGAGAGGAAGAATGCGTGGATTTTCTTGAAACCTCTACAGAGCAAACTTTGGATAACAATTGGAGCATTTTTCGTCTTCATTGGTTTGGTGGTTTGGGTACTCGAACACCGTGTAAACAAAGAGTTTCGAGGACCCAAAGGCAAGCAAGTTGGGATGATATTCTGGTTTTCCTTCTCAACTCTCGTTTTTGCTCACAGTAAGTCTCTAACTCAAAGCAAGTTACATATGAAAGCTTTATATTCTCCTTGTTTCTTAACAGATCATATGGCTGGTTGCAGGAGAGAGGGTAACAAGCAACTTGACAAGATTTGTGGTGATTGTGTGGGTTTTCGTGGTTCTGGTGTTGACATCAAGTTATACAGCCAGCTTAACATCTATGTTAACGGTTCAACAACTACAACCTACTATAACAGACCCCAATGATCTCATCAAGAATGGAGAATATGTTGGGTACCAAGAAGGTTCCTTTGTCAAAGATATCTTGAAGCACATGAGATTTGATAGCGCCAAGCTTAGAAGCTATAGCAAATTGGAAGAGTATAATGATGCCCTCTCGAGAGGAAGTAATAATGGAGGTGTTGGTGCAATTGTTGATGAACTACCTTATCTCAGTCTCTTCCTCAACAAGTACTGCTGGAAGTATATTATGGTTGGTTCGACTTACAAGACTGCTGGCTTCGGATTCGTAAGATTTTCTCTGCATCATTTAATTGGAAAGGTTCCATAACTGAAGTTATACTACCAATGGTAGTTTACTTTATCTATTCCTGTATTCCACTCTTTTCTCCACAATTTCATGCAGGCGTTTCCAAAAGGATCTCCATTGGTACCTGACGTCTCAAGAGCAGCCTTAAGAAGGGAGGGGTTATGAATAACACAATACAGAACTGGTCTGGGAATGAAACAGATTGTCCAGAGAAGGATGGAATGCCTATAACATCTGATAGCCTCAAGCTAGATAGTTTTAAGGGCCTTTTCCTCATAGCTGGTTTATCAGCAAGTTCCGCTCTTCTCATATTCTTCCTCGTCTTTCTTTATCAGAACAGGGAAATCTTAGCCACTGATGATTCTATATGGCAAAAGCTTACTGCTATAGCAAAAGTCTTTGATGACGAGAAAGAGAAACCTAACTCTAAGTCAGAAAAGCCGGGTGAAGGCAATGAAAGCCAAAAGACTACACCATTCACAGCAAGTGCAGCTTCCCCTGAAATATTGCCCAACTTTCCATCGCAAAGCCCAGAAACCAGAATTGCATTGCCTCCAGATGAAGGGTTCTCTACAACAGAACCTGGAACTACACTTGAAGAAACCATTACAGAGGAGAATGAAGAGAGATGATACATATAACTGCCACTAAAATTATGTAACAGCCTAAGAGAGATCACATAGTGATGAACTAGCTTGAGAAAAACTCAACCAAATTGCACTATCATTTTGGCACTCCTGGCCATAATATTTGTATCGAGATTTTAGATGGATAAGCAAGATTTAAGAAGATATTTTTGCGCTCTTGGCAAGATTTTATGCGGATAAAAGCAAGATTTAGAGGAAGAGTAACAGCTATTTACTTTGAATGTCTTAAATAATTCAACTCCAAGTGGTTCATGAAAAGATAAATATTAGGTTTGCTAACTCACCACACTTAGCCAGCCTAGAATGGCTGGTTTGAAGTTATATGCAATCTGTTATGGTCGTGCATCAACATAATCCATCAAGCATCAAACTTATTTCCAAAGTATTGTACTGGAGTAATGAAGGAAAAGAGTTCAAACTTCCAACCATGATTTTTATGGTGGTGTTAGCATTCAAAATTAGAAGATTTATTTTTGAAAAGTATTATATAATGTAAGTCGTATTGGTATTATTTCATTAGTTTTAGATATTTAGTTCAAGCTCGTAGGAAATAAAGCATACAACAATTCTACTCTACCCTCTTCTTCCTTCTCACCCTTTTTGAAGACGGAGAAACGCTGCTTCGCTGACCCTGGCGGTTACTTTCGGTTATGTTCCGCAACAATCTTCAAAGGCTCAATGACTTATATTACACAGGTGAACATTGGGGTTGATGCATTATGACAACCCCATGGCCATTGGACAAGTTTCGTTAGAAAAACGGAAATAAGTTTCTTGACAACAGAAGCAGGTTCTAAAAATAAACATTATCTCAATTCTATCCAACAAGTATCAAGGTCTATCGGCTATATTATTAGCATATAAATGTTTTTATGCAAGCTCCAGCAGACGAGCACCGTATGTAATGCCAGGAAAGTACAAAATTCATTTGAGAGAAGAAATAAAGCCCGAGATCCAACCTTGTTCAGTTGGTCTCATTCTTCGGGAGAATCTGAGCGGATGGCTGTTTAAAAACCAGCAAAAATGTTTATCAGTAAGCGGAAAGCACAGCTTGCAATGGCATTAAGAGAAGAGAGCAAATAACATATATACAGGCCATATAACCCATCCTCCATGCCCCATACCCTCATCTAAAACATAAAAAAGAAACGTATGCAGAAATATGGAATTAATATTTTCAGAAGTGCATACAACACATGACAATGCAGACATGACATTTCTTAAAGAAACAAAAGGAGACAAAAAGATAAATTCCTATTTACCATAATTCATTTGTTTTAGAAATTTTAACATGCGAGGAGAGTCACTCCAATTAAAGAGCATGTATAAACACAAATAGAAGCATCTATACATCAACCATATACATTAACAACAATCAGCAGTCGCCAGTCGCACGTGGTGTCATCATAATGATCCTCTGATTCTTTTTCTTTCTCTTAATGAGTCCAACTTCCATAATTTCAGTTAGACCTTGTACTATGAAAAGAGAACAAGAGAAGAAACACTTTTTGAAAAAGGGGAGAAAAGATGATATAAATTGCATAATTTAAGCATTTCATCTTGACATGTTGAGAATATAAATGTATAGGTATATGATGAAGTGGGTGAAACGATATCCCAATGCACACTCTACAGCAGTGATTAGAAGTGAGAAAAGAATATCTTTAGGGGGAATAAACAAGAAAGAGCAGAGAATTAGTAGGCAACCAGATGGACAATATTAAGCAAATGATCGACTCTAGACAACCACAATTTGGGGAATATTTGAAGGAAGTAAATGAGTTGACTGATTTCAGACTAAGCTTTTTAGAGAGGCAAACAGCACCATCTGAATATTCAAATAAGTGAGTCTCAGCATCGCAAAATCTGCGGAAGTGGATCTATGATTTGAACTTTATGGCTTAAAAAGCTACCAAAGGCCATTTGATTTACTAGGTTCAAAATCTATTATTTGTATTAATTTAGTAAATTTTCTAGCACTATACAAGATCTAAGCTAAAGCTATTGGGTTGAGATGATCACGTATTGATTACCCTACATCCACCCCTGAGTCTGCCAAGTTAATTATCAACCGTTCGAGGTTTAAGTGGATATGATATCCACATGCAAGTCAGAAGAGCAAAGATTTCACACTCCACCAAATAAAGAAACTGGAGTGGATAAACTATTACACTAATTTTAGTTTCAACTGGTTGGTTATCTCTCTCATCAAGCCAAAGAGCTTAATAAGAACATTTCGTGTCTAGGAGCTGAAAAACGATGGCCATTTTCTACTGATTCTAGCTAGGAATTCTCCTTTTATAATTAATAGAACGGTTAAGAGAACAACTCTTACAAAAATCTAACAGAATTAATAATATTAACAATAATCTCATTGCATTCTGCAATATGAACAGAAAACCCTAGATTCAGAAATGCCACCTACTAATCACACAAAAGAGACCGAAGATAGCCAATTTGCGAATTTTAATCCATTCACAAATCCTACCACTAAATGCCCGGTGATAAAAAAGAGGAATTACTGAAACATTAATACGAATTGATACACAAATAAGGAAACCAAAGATCTGAACTTTAAGCTTCTTAATTGAAAGGGAAAAAGTAAAAAAAAAAAAACAGAGAGATTGCTTACTGGGTTTCTGAGGCTTGCCATCGACCCATTTGGAGACGGAGTAGTGGACCTTCTCACGGGTCAGGGCTTCGGACTTGTAAGGCTCTTTAAGGCAGTTCCTAACCAGGTTAGCGCATAGGTTTGAGTATGTTATGTAAGTCATCCCCGCCGACCTCCAAAACGGCGCCGCTGCGTTTGAAGCCATTTCTCTGCTGCTCTCACGTTCTCTTTCTGAATCGCACTCTCTTTCTCTCTCGCTGTTTTTTGTAGTCACAGATGAAATGAGTACTCCGCTAAATAGATCAATTCAATATATAACCAACTAATGTGATACTTTCTTTATTTATCCTCGTCGTTAATTTTTGTTTAAGTACACCCTTACCCTAACAAAGCTTAGGCTACAGGCAATATACTACAACAACAACATAACAACATGCTCAATATTATCATATACTGTACGGTCTGAGCAATATGGGAAATATAATGTGTATATATACCTTACCTTACCTTACGAGCAGGGGTGACAAAATGGTTCAAAGAAAATAATTAACTACCCATTAAAAACGGATCAAATATGGATATGAACCATATTATCCATTTAAAAAGTGAATAACCAATGGATTAACATTGAATAATTAATGAGTTTAACTTTTACATTTGTAAAGCCTCAAATTGGGGATTTCTTAAGTTTGGAGAGTATGAATTCTCCCAAAATTGATCATATTCAAAAAGCCATGGATAATATGGTTACCCATATTATTCGTCGGTTAACCCGTTTTTTATCTGTACTAAATATGGGTCAGGTTGGGTAATTTATCTGTTTTTTCATTATCCGTTTTGACCCGTCTCATATCCGACCCGCCTATTTGCCACCCCTACTTGTGAGGATAGAGAGGTTGTTTCGAATAAACTTTCGGCTCAGGAGGCTACATGCAATATATAAGTGTAAATTTTGTTGCTTTGCAAATTTATATGAGGTATTTTGAATTGACACAAAAATTTAAAGGTAATTTGAGTTGACACAAATTTAAGAATTTTTTTTTTTTGAAACTTATGATTTTAAACTTATTTTAAGCTAGCGTTTGGATATAGATTTGGTTGAAACTTGAGAAAATGAGTTTTTAAAGATGTGACGAAAAATATTTTTTGAAAGTTGAAATTGTACTTGGACAAGCATTTTACTTGAAAAAAATTTGAACTTTTGTGAGTAGAAAAGTGCGAAAACTACTTTAGAGTTGTTGGGATTTGAAATTTTTTTCAAAATCTGTAAAAAAAAAAAAAAAAAGATTAAAATTTATAAACAAACAGATATTTAAAAATAAAATAAATAAAAAAACTCCCAAATTTATGACCAAACCGGAGCTAATTATCTTCTAAAATAGTTAAGTTTCAACCCTTGATTAAAAAACTCCAAGTTAAAAATGTAATTTAATTTTCTTGATATACTAAAAATAATTACTCGATTTTTCTTCAACTCTAAAAATTACTCCAATGCAATGGTTTTCACGGCTGCACCTTGTGCCTTCACAATGCAGTATCCTCAGGCAGCAGCTGCCCCGGAGAGGGCGTGCGCCCATAACCTCGTGGTCCGGCGATCAATTTGCTTCTCCACCAAAATAATCATTTCGGGGGATCGACAGCTAGCCTTCAATTTCAATTTCAAATCCACAAAGTTCAGCTCAGCACTTCCGTCCAGCGGTTTGAGGTCTATGTCAATATCGCGTCCGGCAAACCACACTGTTGTACGAGCAAGTTCGACATCTTCGTCGTCGTCATCTTCATTCTCCAGCTCATCCTCACCGTGGGATGAAAAACCTTACCAAGTTTTATCGAATGGCAAGATAGTCTACTTGGACGAACAGGATGTTGTCACATTCCTTGACCCTCCCAAAGAGCTTATTCCTTTAGACCCTTCTTCTTATAATCCCGCTTCTTATCTTTGGTATATCTCTATTACTGACTTGCTTCATTAGTTAATTTTGATGCATTACAGTTCAATTCCCCAAAAAAGGCCTAAACAATTATTTATAGAAAGAGTAAAGTTAACTTTGGTCACGAATTTCTTTACTCTCAGCATTTCTCATTATTATGTGTTGTTGTGGTTAGGAAGAAAATTGGGGATATTCCCGACGAAAGGCGGCACAGGCTATTATCCTTGCTTAACCCAAGGTTTGTCTGTTACTTGATCTGCTTTCTTCTCTTGCTATTATGAGTTGTGCTTCATGAAGCAGAGAATGCTCCCTATATGACCATTTATGATGTGTTTGAGTGAGCATGGAGTTTAATAGGATAATTTGACTTTATGACTATTCCTACTATATTGGTAAGACCAGATGATAATGTTAAATTCATAGGTGCGAAATCAGTGTCGTTAGCAAAATTACCTTCACGCTAAATTTGAATTATTTAAAATGAATTTGAAATCTTCAAACAAGTTAAACTTTATTTTATGAACACTTGAGTATAGGAAGTATATTTTAACTGTTGAAATTGGAGGAAGTGCTGGGCTTTTATGTATTCGTGGTTGTTAGACATCTTAAGATAGTTCTCCCCCTAATCATCAGCTATCTAAAACCCTCAGGCCGTCCTTTTGCTTTGTTATCTATGATCTATTACAAATTTGTGACATAAACTTGCTTGTGTGAATTTTATTATCTTGCGGAGTCTCATGGTATAATTGCTTAAGGTGAGGGGAGAATCTATGGGTATAAGACAAAGCATGATTATCTCCCCCTTTCCCTCCAAGAAAGCTTGCTATGTTCATCACATATAATTGCATCTCCAGCTTTAAGCAATTTGTGCCTCTTTTAAAAATAGCACATCCTATGTGCGCTTAGCTTATGCAACATAACATATCACACAATTGATAGTGTTACAATTTTCTCATATTTTTAGTTGAACTTCAAGCAGGTTGATATCACAAGCTTGGGAGATTGCTGGCACACGGTACAATAATTCAAAGCTGGTACAGAAAAGTGCATCTAGCTTGCTAGCAATCGGAGATACTGAAACAGTTGCTGAATTTTGGAAGTGCCGGACGAGTGGAGGTTACTCATCTTGATTTTGTCATTTCATGATCCAAATTGTTCTCTTTTCTGATTTATGCTTCTAATAGTACTGGACTATGATAAAAAAAATTGTCCAAGTTTAGCCAACATTGGTGATCTGATCTTTATTCTATTTTGCCCTTACCATCTGAAGTTTCAAGAAAATTAGACGAGAAATTTAGATGATACTGGATTTTAAAGTCACCTGTACTCAGAAGGAGTTTGATGTTAATTCATACCCATCTGTACGCATGTTTGATTGTGGGTGAGGTAGGGTAGTCACGGAGGGAGAGTTTGATGGTTGTGCCATATGATCTTTAGGTCCTTAGTGCAGCCTGTCCTACTTTTCTTACGTGACATGTTTTCTATCCGTTAGTAACATACCAGTGTTTCTGTTGTTTTCAATTCAATATTCAGATAATGATTTAAGATACTGCAAATATGAACAGGGCCACTGCAGATTGCCTGGTTAAACTTCTTCAAAAAGGTTATTCCCCTTAACTGGTGTCTTTTGGACCGATTTTCAGAGGCATTCAACTCTGGTAATTTGGTGCTAATACGCGAGTTCTTTAAGACTTTAACTAATTTTTATTCCAGGTTGTATTTCGCACCGGTGATGGGAGGGCATACGGGCGACTCATTAGTAAGTTCATTAAGAGCTATCTTCAGCTATATGCCAACACATTATGTCAATCTTTTTTTTTTTTTTTAAAATGTAAAGAAGATAGTTGTTTGTTTCAATCCTGTTGCAGTTTGTTACTTGTCTATTTATAAATGAGTATTATGCTAGCTTGGAAATGTTGCTTTATTATTATTACAAAGACAACAATCTCAGATATATGATGTATGTCTGATAATGGTCAGGAACAATATTTAAGAATCAGGCAACTTATGTTAAGCAGCTTATTAGGTTCCACACTTACCACTGATTAACTTATGATATGCTTACTGCTCAATCGATTGCTTGTCTACATTTTCCTAACCAATCATCCACATTATGCAGGCGAATCAGTTTTCTCTGGGCTCTCAAATTCATTTTATCCTCTGTACTTTACTGTTAGTGAACTCAAAGAAGTGATGTCAACAGAACAGCCTTGTGATTTAGCATATGAATTCAAAGATGGACTCTTGGATCTCCCAGATTTTCCTCATGGTTTCCCTAAGCCAGGTGAGAGTTATTGCATCAGATATCTTGTTAAACAGGGATAGAGAGCTTCTTGTGCAAATCTCGCATTGCCCATATGCAATTTGTGCTTTGTGGTTAATTTCTTACACTTCAGTGACCTATCTACCCTAACCACTCTTGAACAATTGTTGCTTTACATGTCTTGAAATACCAGTTTTGGTAGTGAGTCTTATAGTTGTTTGAATTTCTATTTTCCTTTCTATTGCCAAGTTGACTAGCTCAAAACCTTCTCTAGCCGGTTCACATGGAAAATTTTATGGACCCTATGAGAGCCCACTATGTTCTGTATGGCACGAATTGTACAAATAAAAATGTTATGCATGAAGTTTCTGCTTAGGTCAACCTTTAGACACCTTTAAATGCTTTTCTTGCTTTCGAAGTCATATCTGACTCTCAGCTGCCAAATCTTCTAGTTCTTCTGTTTCTCTTCCAATTTCCATGGAAAATAAAAGGTTTGGGTTGGGGGAGGGGGGAGTGGGGGAGGACTGGGGCAATGCTGGTAGATTTATTCCTCGATTAGGTTGATATTATAAACATTGCTAGTAAAGAAATACCACGTCATGGATCCTCTTCCTTGGCAATGATATAGTGTAGGCGAGTTTTCTTTGTTGTTTCTTTTAGTGCAGTTGAATTACTTACCTAATTAAGGTGTTTTAACATCTCAGCTGAGCATCCATGGCCCTTTAACGATGAGATTGTCATATACGTACGCCATGTGGGGCCAGGAGTGATGGTAGGGCAAGCCTGGCAAGAAGGAAAAGCGTTGCAACAGGTGCCTAAGAAGCTATGCGGTGAAATCTTGATGGTGAAAGAGTATTTATCTTCTCAGCCACAATCAAGCTAGTTATGCACTGTTTTTTGTGTCAACTCTTTATTCTCTGTTGTTTCTGTGACCAGAAGGTGCAGCTTTGTACAATAGGTTCAACTGAACTCAATAGTTCCGACACCTAACATAAAATTCTAAAGGTTGAATTCAAAAAATTTAATTTCTAGATCTGCCTGTCGCTGACCAACTTTCGGGCTGTAATTTTCAAGTGTACATGTCGTTCCTTCTAAGCTCTTTTTCTTGTTGTTCCAACTTTTAAGGACACTAGTACTTTGTTTAAGTTTTATTTATGAAATTGTATCTATTCTTTCTAAAAATATCTTAGGGCTATGCATAATATGGTAAATACCGAAATACCGTACCAAAACCGAAAATTTTGGTATTTGGTATTCGATATTTCGGTATTTGATATGGTATTTGGTTTATATTTTTTAAAAATTTGGTATTAGGTATGGTATTTGATATTTAATTTTTTTACCGAAATACTGATTCCATACTGAAATATATACTAAGTTATGCATTACAGATATTATTGATTATAAAATACTATAAGTTACACAATACTTTTCTTTGGCTTACATGTTGAGGTCGGCTACGTAATGTTTCTATGATTTCAAGGTGTTTCTCACTTCATTACTCGTTTATTTTTGTTGCATCAGTTGCACTAATCTTTATTGTATTCTTTAAGTTCAACAAATAACTCTAAGCAAGTAATAAGATATTTCCAAAGATCAAGTTATTCCTTTATGTACCTTTTTTCTCCTGGTTGATACTAGGATTGTTTAAAATCGAACCGTAAAAGTGGCTTATTGGTATCGGGTTATCGGACTAACAGTTGGTGAATGGATTGAAGTTTTATAATTAATGGTTTATCGGTTCGGGGCGAATTACTCAATTTTCTTATCGGATAAATCGTAACCCATTAAAAATTATTATATTTAAAATTTTACCTCTATGAATATAAAGTATCCTTTCCACTATTTGAAAACCTAATTTTTTATTTACCTAAATTTTAGCAGCAAACATTCTCTATTTCTCTCTAACAATTCTTAGGAAATAACGACACCGGTCAGACTTACAATGAAACACCTTTTTAGCAGCCTAAGCTTCAACGTCATCATAACTTGTTTTGGGGTAGGACTAGGCAGATCTTGATAGTTCTTGATATCCTGAATTTATGTTAACTGAACTTCTATGATTGATTAAGAATCCCTATTTTGTATTTTAGCTTGCTTATTGTAAAAGAATTAAAGAAGAAGAAATTGCTATTAACAATGAGAGCTTCATCAGCCTAATAGAGTGTGATTGTGATTGGATCATCTATCTATTGTTTACTGTCTTGCTTACTTATGTAGTTTTTATTGTCTATTTGATTTAGCCGATAAACTGTTCGATAAATGTCTGTTAATCGCTAACTCGATATCAATCTGCCCAATATCTTATCGGATGGCTAGCGGATTAGTACATTTACAAGTCGATAACCTATAAGCCAATCCGTTAAGCGTAAATATTCGCCTAATTCGTCTGATAAACAACTCTAGTTGATACTTGATGGTTTTGGATAAAGATTTTGTCAATAGTCACGTGAGACTAGAACATTTTCAGATTTGTATTTATCAGTACTTTAATTAAGAATATTACAATTAGTATGCAAGTCAACATAATTAGGTATGGTATTGATATAGTATTTTAAGAAATTGAATATCAAAAATACCAAATCGAAAATATCGAAATATCGTAACGTACCGACCGATGAACACCCATAGTCCCAGTAGTTTTAATATAGGAAATACAACGAAAAAACTCGCAAACGTTTTAAAGAGAAGAAAAAGTAAGAAGGAAAGATACCGTGGAGTAGAATCAAAGGAGTATATAACAAGAATTATAGTTGAATCTACTAGTATTGGTAATTTGAGGTGGATTTTATTGATTTTGGAAAAATAATTGAACGGGTAAGGTTAAGATAAGGAAAAGGCTTCAAGTAACCTTTTTAAGAAAGATTTTTACCATAATTAGAAGAACAAATATCATATAATTATGTGCTATAACTAGAAGATTTCCCCCCCACACATTATAGACTAAAATGAAAAAAGAAAGAGTGAGTAAAAGAAACTTGTGTAATTAATCAATCAAAAAGCAATAGTTATGGCAGTGAAGGTAGAGTAGAGTGCACGCACCAAACCGAAAGACGAAAAAAGTCATATCCCAAAAAGGCCGAAAGGCAACGGCAGGCAAGACCAAATGTCATTATCCATTCTGCATTTACATTAATTCTTAGCGTCTCAGGTTAAGTCTTACGGCTTGTTCCGATGTTTCTTAGGTATCGTTTCATAATATATTATATAATATTTTATTGTATTATATTATTTTAATATATATAATATTTGGATAGATTGTACTGTTTGTCGTCGTTTCATAATGTCATGCACCAACAATATGAAGAATAAATTTGTAATATTATAAAGAAAAAGAAAAGTACGAGGTAATATTATTATATAAAAAATAGGATAAAGGATAAAATAGGCCTATTTAATAATAAAAGAAGGCAAGATGAGAGAAAAAAATAAAAAAATGACGCAACCGCACCAAATCGATCGTTCTATAAAGTAATATTTTTCGTAGTTACGTAACGATGACTTTAAACGTAAAATTAAAGTAATAATCAAAAATCACTTTTGCTAGGAATGTGGGATTTTCTAACATGAATAATCAAGATCCACAGATATTTAATAGGAATACCAAACACCTAGTGATCCAGCTGAACCTTCAATTGTTTTTTTGTTAAGAGGTTAAAGGGTGGAGGCATGTTCCGATGACACCAAAATGATGAAGTGTTGTGTGGAGTGATTTTACGGTGCGCCTCACATAACTGGCATTAGTTGTGTGAGATTTTCTTTTATCTCATACATTTGTGTACGCATATCTAACCTATACATTTTTATCATGCATGGTGTTAATATTTAAATAAATTGAGAAAAAATTTGTATTAATTAAACTTAGTAAGTTTAAGTAATAATGGTGTGTAGAAATTTACAGTAATTGTGAATCTTAAATTACTAGAGCAAATGGATCTAATATTTATATAAATTTAAATATCTTTATTAATCTACAAAATAAAGTGAACATACTTAAAAATAAAATAAAAATACTATAGGATCCATTTGTCCATAGATTTTTTTCTTTTCCCGGAATTTTATTAAAAAATATGTTTGTCCCTAAAATTGTGCAAATTTTTGGAGAATTTTTGAAAATGAATTTTTCAAAAATCAAGAGATGGTTTTGACCACTTTTTCAATTTTTTCGGAAAAAACTTTTTTCCCCGCACAAAATTAGAATATTTTTTCAAGTGAAATACATGTCCAAACATAATTTCAAATTTTAAATACTATTTTTTAGCTAAATTCCAAATACTACTCTTTTTCAAAAATTATAATTTTTATGTCCAAACGCCTACTAAAAATCACAGCTATTTTAATTAAAGTATTTAAAAGCTTAACAAAATTACCTGTCCAAGAAAGGCAATAACAGAATAGTAGGATAGCCGAAATTGCAGGATTATACATTTTATGATCAGATGGGGCCCATTTTGGGGTCGAAGTCCTCAATAAATCGTGACCGTACTGATTTTCTTTTTTTCCATTTACATAATATATGCTCAAAATTTTGTGAAAAAACACAAAAAGAAAAAGAAAAAGGAAATTTTGGGGACGATAAAGGCGTTGGGTTTAGGCGCTGAATCGTTTTTAAAAGAAGTGTCGGTGGCATAAAATTTTAAAAATAAATTTGTGTAAGAGCCACTCTGTCCCTGTACTGACTTATTAATTCCGGACTCGGCCCTAATTAGTCCAAGTTATACAATTGCTGCTAATTCTACTTTATTACCAAAATTAGTGACTTTGTCCCGCCGGATATTTTGCTTGTAAAGCATTCATTTATATACATAAAAAACCCCGTAATCCTCATCAAATTCCACTGTAAGTAGCTGCTCCAAGTTCGAAGCAACCGCAGCTCCTCACTCTCCTTTTACCTTGCCTTAGAGTAGTGACAGCCTACTTTCCAGTTCTTGCATTTTTAGTTCATTAGTGAACAGAGTGTGTGAAAAAATTGGCTGTTGGGTTTGCCTTTAACCATTCGAATTGCGTAGAGGATTGTGGATCTAGTGAGAAATGGGGGTGGATCCGAGACAAATGGTGGCTGGTGTACTTACAGTAACTATGTTCGTAATGCTTGGCAACATGATCAAGAATGACCACTTTGATTCCCTTCCTGTAATTTCTTTACCACTTTCTTACTACTGTAAATTTTGATTTAATTTGCTGTAATCAACTTGTTTTAAGACGCTCAACCATATATCATAATATATTCTAGTTTTTTCTATCAACATAAATCTTTCATCAGCTTCTAGCTTTGGCAGTTGCAGCAAACTTTCACGGCCATTACTAAGAAGACTTTACAGTTTGTTTTTGGCTTAGCCTTAGCTAAAAATGTTTATCTCGTAAGATCCTATTAGATTATGCCAAAAATAAAAATGCGAACAGATAAACTAGTGTCCATAATGTCAACATTCAATTATGTGATATTCTTTGTTTAATTTTTTGATTTGGTTTGATCCTTTTTGTTTCGATTAAGGTGGACTCTGATACATCTATCCATAGTATCAGTAAGCAGAGTATTGGAAATGGCCCTTGGAAACAGGACGGCGAATCCCTAAAGCCTTGTTGGACTAAACCAGTTCTCCGTGAGTGATTTAATAACCTTGAGTTATTAAAGTTTTATCTTTTAATATTACCTTAATTTTCTTCTATTGGAAACAGCCTCTCTAATATTATCTTAATTTTCTGCATATGCACTATCCTCCCAGACCACACTTGTGGGAATATAGTGGGTTTGTTGTTGTTGTAATTTCTTATATAGCTTATTCTATGATGTTTTCTAACAGAAGAAGCTGACCAATCACAAGGGTTTGTTACCTTTTCACTCACTAATGGTCCTGAATATCATGTTTCTCAGGTATCTTACTAGCGTAACATCTTGAGTTTTTCATATTAAACAGCAGTATGTAGGTGGATTGCTATCAGTAATTTACTTAATGAAATAATTGCAAACACTAGGTTCTATCTTATAGACAAGCATTTGTTTGCTGCATATGGTACCTACAAATTTGCTTTTGATGTTATTGGCTATACA